GTGTCTTTCTTACACGTGTGCATTTCATTGAATGACAGTATTAGTTATAAAAAGACATTAAATAGAAAAAACTTGGGGAAAACCCTTAATGTTGGTGATTACATTAAAAATGTATATTTCGATTATAATCGATAATGGTTCACCACAAGTCCTCCGATAATCGATAGTGGATTTAGTTTCCGATTCCCAACACTAGTGCCTGGGTTCTGTATCATGTTCAAACATGTTGTTTGTTTTTTTATTGATATAAGTTTCTAATGGTTAAATAACACCAGTGTTATTATACTGTTACTTGATGAGTTCAAAAGGTAACACACTTGTCATTTTAAATCACATAATATATATGCAGACACTTCATTCTTGTATAAATTATGAGTTATTTTGTTTATTTATAAAGGTTTATTTATAAAGAATTTATTTCAGATAATATAATGTTAAGATTTGTTGCCTATTGCAAACAGCTGCTCGTCAAGGTAACAAATCTGTTTCTTTGGCAATATATACTAGGCAGCAAAAGAAACGTCAGTTTGGAATTTCCTTCACAGAAACGGATAACTGTAAACTCATTTAATGTTTTGATTGTATGTTTTTGACAACATCTCCAATTTTACCTGAGCAAAGACATTCCTTCCCAAACTCAGAATGGAACCCACGAAATGGTCTCAAAAACGCAACCTGATCTCGGAGATGGTACGGTGTTCTCCATGTATTTCATGCAACTCATGCTGCATGTACTGTTCACAAGGACCAGCCCTATAGAATGCACCCCCAAACCTGGTTGAAACATTCACATTACAACGCCAGCAGGATGCCGCGACTCACGACAGTGGAGAGGAACCAGGCGCTAGGAAGACTTGAAGCTGGCCACACTGCACAAGCAGTTGCCAATCACTTCCAGGTCAACTATCGGACCATCTACAGGCTGCAGCAACGTTTCCGGCCACCAACACCACAAATGATCGCCCCCATACTGGCAGACCAAGGGTGACCATAGACGACAAGACCGCCATGTTGTGTGACAGCATGTACAGAATCCCTTCAAGTTCATGCAGGTATCCGCAACTGCACGCCAGACAGTGGGAACACACGGAAGACCAATCAGTACTGATACAGTACGCCGACGTCTTAACAGCAGGAACCACCATTGCCGTAGACCTTACCGTGACCTATCCTCACCCCTCGTCATCGGCGTGAACGTCTACAGTTTGTCCTACAACACCAAAACTGGAGATACAGGCAATGGGTAACTAACTGTTCTGTTCACAGATGAGAGTCGGTACAGCAGATAGCAGAACAAGAATATGGCGACGACGTGGCCAGCATTACTCAGACCAATGTGTTATGGAAAGAGACTCATGGGGAGGTGCAAGCATCATGGTATGGGGTGGGATAGGCCGGAACCATAGAGTGGGTCCTGTGGTGTTCCAGAACCTTGGTCCAGGGAGAGGAGGCGGCATCACAGCGGTGCGCTACATCGACCAAGCTCTCAGTCCCCATGTCATACCACATTTCGCACCACAAGCATGTAAATGATCATAAATTAACTAGCTTCTGCTGGTACCAAATTCTAGTGCTGGTATTGAGAGCATGCCAGATTGGAGGGCTGCCAGTTTTGAGAGCTTCCATTGTATATGTGGTTTCAATGGTAATGTATACATATAGTCTCTTCTGTAAACACAGACAGTGAAAACTTACATGTCATATTGTCTGGTGTCCATTAACTGCCCATACAATGTTACTTATTATCAATATTTACAGACCGCCGCCATTTAGCTGGAATATTGCTGAGTGCGGTGTAAAACTAAACTCACTCACTCACTACGTATTATGAAGATATTTTGGGGATAAGGACAAACTTTCTGGATGAACAACTTCTTTATTCGAATGATGCGACGTTTCAAGCTTGACGATACAAGAATCTGTATTGAAACGTCTGACAATGATACAAGAATCTGTATTGAAACGTCTGACAACGATACAAGAATCTGTATCAAACCGTCTGACAACGATACAAGAATCTGTATCAAACCGTCTGACAACGATACAAGAATCTGTATTAAAACGTCTGACAACGATACAAGAATCTGTATCAAAACGTCTGACAACGATACAAGAATCTGTATCAAAACGTCTGACAACGATACAAGAATCTGTATCAAAACGTCACATCATCCGAAAAAGAAGTTGTTCATCCATAAAGTTTGTCCTTATCTGATTCACCAACTTCTAAACATGCCACTCAAAGAAGTTAACATATGTTTTCTTGCAGATTTTGGCTATAACTCCTGTCAGACATTGTTCGTGTAACAAAAACGTCCCCCCATAATGTCCATATTGAAACTTGAAATGTTCCTTCTCCCTGACTTTTGGAAATAAACAATATATGCCTTACTTGTGTTGTTTTTCATGAAATGATCAACAGCTGAGGTACTTATTGAAGTATGGCCTGAAAGTGCTGTTCATACACTTGATTACACAAATGTAAAGAAGCTGTAACTTTGAAAATTGCCGTTTTCTACTGAATTAACAAAAATATTTTGTTTTCATGTGAGTGGCGTCATGTTTGCACTTCCATTTACATGTTTATCATTATCTCGTTATTGAGGTGCCAATACAATAATTATATAGAGCAGTACAGCATGTACACCAGAGTTTTAGCAGTATGTTAATGCTATCGTTTTCCTGCTTCTCTGCAATTTTGAACTAGTCGATTTTTATCCCCCGCCACGCGTTGATATAATATTAGGCTCCGTACGTACGTACGTACGAACGAATTGGAATATCTTAAGAACCGTTCACTAGATTCTTTTCATATTTGGTACCTAGGTTCATCACACTATAAGAAAGGTCACAAGGGGACTTCACGTTTTACCTGCATGTTAAGCTATCTCAAAAACCGTTCACTGGATTTTCTTCATGTTCAATTTCTTCATGTTAAATTGTTCAACAGAGTAAACTTACTCTCTGATTTGTTTGGTTAACATTTCTTCAGGATCATGAGGGCTTGAGGTGAGATGTTTGTTCAAAGCCTTAAGCGTATAATTTGATTAATTTTATTAATGTTCAATAGTTTGAGTCATAGATGTTCTGAGGATCATTTGCAATTTTTGCATAACATTACTGATAGAAAGTTAGAAACTGCCCTGAGTCCCTTTACCTCAAGAATCAAGATAGATACAGATGGTATTTGTTTGAATAATGAACATGTGGCCCCTTTACAGTATGCATATGTTTTTGTTAGCATTTAAAGGGTTAACATTTTCATGAAACTTGTGTTACAAAATATTTGAGAATTACATGTTCACAACTGAAGGTTGATGTAAGAAGTTCTTGTGTGTTTTCAACTTTTCTTTAACAATTTCAGTTTAATCATTGATTAATGACTATTCAGTGTTTAGTGTAAAGTGTTTGACTGTTCAAGTCTAATTAGTTGAAACTGGCATAACATATATGTCATCATGAAGGTGGTTTATGCTCTATTTTAGTTGACAGATATTGAATCATTTTGTCAAATTTTGTGTGACATATGGGTTTTAGTTTATTGTTTACTTAATAATGGAAACTAAAAACTGATAGTGTTATTTCAAGTTTCAACTTATTTGTAAGTTTGTAAGATCAGGTTACAGTTGAAAGACCTGTCAAGTTTGAACCAAGATATTCTTTTAACTTTACTGGCTTTGAATTTTATGATCATAAATAGTTATTAAATATATCTCTTTGTTTTTGAACATTCAAATTACAGAGATGGCTACTAATACTTGAGAAAAACAACAGAATTCTGTATATCATTTGTGAGAAATAAAAGAACTTGGTTACAATTGTTGATATTTATTTTTCAATGCTCAAGAGTTGTCAGGAACATGTCCAAGTAGCTGCAGATGTTTTTCAGTTTTTTTTATGACGAAACTGTTGAATATTCTCTTCCAGTTTCCTTGAAACACTAAGCATTAGACAATCAGTAACATACACATGTATCGTGATTTCGTATCGTATCGTGAATTTTCTGTATCGTCACAACGCCATTGGAGAATAATTAATATTCATAAAAATGTATTATCAAATTAAACTTGCAAAAGTATGTTTCTTGTTATGTTTGTTGAATCAAGATTTGAACTACTTAGACAGTTTTCTGATTCGTAAAACTGCCGTGTAAACAACACATCCTTTGTGTCTCACCTGGATGTGTCATCGATCATGTTATTTCTATTGTATGATTATTAATCTGTGCCTATTCCATTTGCACAATGCTATGATTGAGTCCCCCGTTATTGACCACATGAGTTTTGTGGTGGTGTTTGCGATTACAATCGATTATTGTTCGATAACTGAACTCAGATTATTGATCTGCAAATTGTAAGTAATAACCAGGGCCCCGTTCCTCAAAGCGATCGTAACCCTAAGATGATCGTAACTCCCATACTTTAACATAGACTTACGACAGTCGTAGCACTACGATCGCTTTGAGGAACAGGGCCCAGCACTACTCAAAAGTCATTGGAACTGCTTAATCGAGAATGAACCTGGGCATGTTTATTTAATAAGATATGTGAATATACCTACCTGGTACATTGCATAAACTGCTTTTTACATCTGAGGTTTTAGAAGCGTTAGTCTGTAATTGAAAGCACAAGTCTTAATAGCATTTATTGTTTTTTCTATTCCAGATAACTAGTTAACTTGACTGAGTCTCATGTCAAACATCATATTACTGCCCTTTGTCATTATGAGCTTTGTCAGAACAGTTCTCAGAACTTAATGTGCTATATATTTCTGTTTCTCTCTCTTTAGAGTTGGGATTTTGTGCTTCTTCACAAACATGGTAAAAAATGAATATTCTGGACAGGTGACTGTACATTTTTCAAATTGCGCAATTTTATTTGATTGGTTGAGTTAATGTGTTAGACCAATCAGGATCTTATTGAAGATTACCCACGAGAACAACTGGGTTTACACTTACTACTTGTCAAAATTAATGCTTGAAAATCTTGTATATTTTTCAGATTTGTTGACTGAAATTGGCAAAGATTCCCATGAATTCCAACAGGAGATATTACCAGCCATCAGGAAGAGTTACCGTTGTTCTTCGTCACTCAACAGATTCTCTTATTACAGGATACGAACTGTTCACAGTGCTGACCTGACACAAGCTGTAAGTAGGCGCTCTTGTTTGTAATGTTTACACTCAAAGGTATTTTAACTCGAATGCAGGCTGATATAAAAAACATTGAAATGTGAATATTGCATCTCAGATCATGTGTCTGTACGAGATAGGTCTGGTAGACAGGATGTGCCATATTACACTTGAGTTTGTCAAGTACTATTTAGTTATGATATTTTGACATATTTTTCTTGATAATAAACTGTGTACAATGCAGACAGTAAGTGTGCGTGCATATGGGAAAGTAATTGTAGAAATAGTGAGCTATGTCTTGATATGACATGGATAGTTACCTGCTACCAGTAAGACGCTGTTGAGTCGGATTGAGCTATTGCCCAAAGTGGAAGGTCAGTGATAAAGTCTCCAGTCGCCTCCAAGAGACCTTCAGTTTATTTAACACTGCACTCCGAAATTTTACGCAATTGGGATATATCGATGCTCATGATATCAATCACCGGATTGTCTGGTCAGGGTTCAGTTATTTATAGCTGATGTCATACAGCTGGAACATGACTGTGTGCAACATTAAAGAAAAGATCAACGTGAATGTCTCCTAGACACAACTTGTGATGCTGCTTGTTGTTTCCCTGGACTCAGTATGAATGAGATAAGTGAGCTCGGAGTAGGTATGCTGTGACCAAATTTGAGCGGCTTTGTTAAGAACTGTGACATGATATCTCCTTTAGCTAGTGCTGTTTAACTGGCATGCAACATGTACTGTAAAACAAGAAGATACATGAATGAACATAGCTATTTTAAAAGTTGCCAAATTGAAATTATCTAGGAAAGAATGCTAAACCCCAATGTCACGTCACCTTGCATCACGTCCTAAAGCTGTCGACAGAGAATGTCAGGTATTGTTCATATAGTACTTATAGTGCTTCTCAACATGAAGCAGATTGTAACAGATGTTATACCACCAGCACAGGGATTGGATAACAAAGACAGTGTGCTGGAGTACAATATGCTAAAACATGGTACTCACTATGAAAAGGTTATCATCAAGATGATGTGTTGCAGCGATGTTGAAGTCTAAATGTATTCTTCCAAGAACATATTAACTGCTACGAATGTTAAAAAATATGAGGTATGCTGAGTGTAATGTTGTATGAGGTTGTGTCACTTTGTTGTAACTTGCCAGTGCTGTATATAGGGCAGTCAGTACAGTGTAATGTTGTATGAGGTCGTGTCACTTTCTTGTAACTTGCCAGTGCTGTATATAGCAGTGTTCCCGTTCTCCGGTAATTACCAGATTTTTACCGATAAAAATTGTGAAGATCCGGTATTTTCAACTGCCGTCGGTAAATTTTGTATTGCTTAAAGTTGCTTTTTATCGGCAGATTTAATAAACTTGCAGTTAACAACGTCTTTGTTTATTCCTTTTTCTCTTCAGATCATTATGCAAACGTATTGAAAACTAGGGTGGCAATCCCACATCTAAATATAGCCTCTAGAGTATTTTCACAGTTGTAAGAAGCGATTTTATTGGATAAAGATTGGTTTCTAATGACGCTTTTTCGCCACAGTCTGCTATAAGGGTCGTAATTGGTCAAAATCAGACACGTGACCTAAAGCAACCAATCATATTACGGCAATGGATACCGTCCTCGTAAACAAAAACTTTTAGATTTAGACAAAAGTTTTGGGTAAAATAATGCTATTCTGAACATATTAAGCAAGAAATCGCTACCTATACGTAAATTATTGGACGTATCATGCTAGGTTATGACCTGTGACAAAAATGCTTCATGTATATATTTTCGCATTAAACATCGTGTCCGAGCGTGAAGATTGAGGCGACAAGAGCCGAGATGTCACTTGTCAGTGACTTGACTTACATTACATGATCGCACAAAAAGATGGAAATAGTAATTTTATATGTACGTTTGACAACTTTTATGAATGTTGTTGTTGATTTTATTCATTAGTTTATTCAATTTATTTAATGAATTCCTCGAAACATCGTTACTTTGCTCTTTGACAATGTTATTGTGGACCCGCTGCCGAAGCATGTGTCCGAGACTCGTTGTTTTCAACTCGTTAAATGCAGATTGAAGTTCACCACAGGTATATAAACACTAATTATTTGCACATTTCACAGGCATTTAGATAGCGAATGACATTCTGAACACATTTATCGAATTTAGTTGGATCGCTTTCATTTTCTGATTGTGTCAATTGTAATGTAGGTCTAATGAACATTCTCGAAAAACAAGCAACACGTCGTGATGTACGGCAGACTTTTCAACACATTTATTAACAGTATATCGTTACGAATACTGATTACTTTGTCTCTCCGGATAAAAACTAGTTCAGCCGGAATTTTCAGACCCCGTCGGCATAAGCCGCCGGTAATTTTCAAAACCACCAGGAACACTGATATAGGGCAGTCAGTACTGTGTAATGGGGACCCATCAGTGTATAAGGGGCAGCCAATAGTGTATAATGGGGACCCAGTACTGTGTAAGGGGCAGCCAGTACTGTGTAATGGGGACCCAGTACTGTGTAAGGGGCAGCCAGTACTGTATAAGGGCCAGCCAGTACTGTATAAGGGGGACCCAGTACTGTGTAAGGTGCAGCCAGTACTGTGTAATGGGGACCCAGTACTGTGTAAGGGGCAGCCAGTATTGTATAAAGGGCAGCCAGTACTGTGTAATGGGGACCCAGTATTGTATAAGGTGCAGCCAGTACTGTTTAAGGGGCAGCCAGTACTGTATAAGGGGCAGCCAGTATTGTATAAGGGCCAGCCAGTATTGTATAAAGGGCAGCCAGTACTGTATAAGGGGAGCCAGTACTGTGTAAGGGCCAGCCAGTACTGGATAAGGGGCAGCCAGTATTGTAGGCTTGGTCTGATCTGTAGATTTGAATTTAGGTCAGATTTGCCAGATGTTGGTATTTTGCACCAGGAAGATAGTATAATTAAAGGGCCACTGATCCAGAGCGATTAATGTTTCCAGCCAACAGTCTAATTACGAAACCTAGCTGCAAACTGGTCAGCCCTTGCTCCCTCGAACATGACGGACACAGGGACTGGGCTACTGTCCACCTTGGCAGAATTTCTTCAACCTAATCAGTGGGACATTAAGAAGGGTGGATGCCCATCAGATGCCGTTATTTGAAAAATATCCCCGGTAGTTCTTGTCTGATTGTAATAAAGTATCCCAGCAGTGTAGTTTTTTTCAGATTTTCAAATGTTTGGATGGTATGGTGACTGATCCAATTTGATCCTATTTCTGTGTTTTTACCTAGATATTTGATCATGTAAAAATATGATGTCTATTACGTATGCTATGATATCAAAAACACACATTTGATATACATTGTATTTGAATCTATAAACTAAACAACCCCACTTTGCCATTGCAAAAAAATCTGCAATTTTACTTAAGTACATAGGTATATACAGTTGTTAACTAAGTACACACCAAATGCTTATACATATTTCTTATGTAACAATGAAGTTCCGTTCGTATCCTCAAAACTTGGCCCATTATTATATATTTTCAGGCAATCAAACTTGCATGCAATACAGCGATTACTACTCTCTTCCTGTAACCCTGGGGCGGGGGGTTACCTAATGGTTAAAGCGTTGGCTCGTCACGCCGAAGACCCGGGTTCGAATCCCCACATGGGCACAATGTGTGAAGCCCATTTCTGGTGTTCCCCGCCGTGATGTTGCTGGAATATTGCTAAAAGCGGCGTAAAACCAAACTCAGTCAGTCAGTCAGTCAGTCCTGTAACCCTTGTTTGATGGTAAACTTACACATGTTATGACTTGATGAATTTTAATGAATTTATGACAGGTATAATTAGTGATAACACCACTCAGATTACCCGACAAAGGTTCCCGTTTGGCATTTCTTGTGTCTGGAGTAAATACTCATCATTATAAATTGAGGTCTGATGTGGCAAATGTATTACATCTTATGTAACATACGCATGGAAGTGCAGTAAGAGGAATTATCAGCTGAGTTACATAAACAAGCATCGATCAAAGGACTAACCGATAACACGTTGATTGATTAATTGCTTTTATCCTGCACAGCGGATTTGTCAAAAGGTAGTGTTTATGTATGTAGATTTACTAATCTATACTGAATACACACTGTCGTAAAGTTTCTTTGTAAAAACAACGTCCTTCCTTCAAAGGATTAACTGCCAATACATTGATTGATTGCTCATTATTGGCTAACTAAATTACTTTTAATTACGGACATCATGCAGTTAGTTGCCAGGTGTGCTATCTTGACTTACATTGACTTCATTACTTTTAAGTCCTAACATTTTTCACCCCTGGCAGATAGTTAAACTTCAAAATGTTTTCATTTGTTATCAAATTAATGAAGATGGAAATATTATCGAGTAAAAAAGATTCCCTCTTTGCTGATCAATCTATACTTATACTATCAATTGTGCATGCGGGTAGCGCAGCAGGGGTCACGAACCAGTCAAGAATTCTGGGATATCATCCGGGTACTCGCGGGAGGAAAACAATAATAAAAGCAACAACCAGTCCACAGAAATTGCTCTGGATCAGTGGCCCTTTAAGTCATGATTTACAAACATACTGTAACAATGTTGAAAAAGGATGCTTGCATCATTTATGATTCTGTATGGTTATGGCTCTGTCAAGTCATGGAGCCATGTTGTGCAGGTTTGAGTAGCGATACTATAACAAAATTAAAATATCCCACTGTTAGAAATGAAACAAGGAAGTGTTTCCTTTTATTGGTATTTGGGAAATCGACTGATATGTGACTGGAATCATTGCATTTTATGGTTTACAGTTCCTGTGTCAGGAAAAAATGTCCCTAGACAAAAGCTGTAAATATTTAATTGCTTTTGTTTCTGAAAGTAGAACACGGTATAAGCCAAGACGGAAATGCAAGATGCCTGTATTTTGTGTTGGGGTTTTGAATGTTGTCATTGTAACCTCAACATACATGACTAATGTCACATTCTCTGTCCCAAAGATGGGAGATTTGTAGGTA